GTTTCTGTTGCGATTATAGAAGGCTCAATCTGAAGATAAAAAGGGACAACAACGTTAATCGATGACGTGCTAGATCGTTTGCAGGGTTCCAAAGTTTTTACCACCCTAGATTTAGCCAACGTGATTTTTTCACGTGCCAATCGTAACACATAACGCACGTCCCATTTGGTATAAGCATAGGTGCTGTGCTTAGAGACCTGATGCAGTACAACAAAATCGTCGTCTACATGGACGACATCATCATACCAACAGCAGATGAGGAATCAGGACTTTTAGTTTTGAAGGAAGTCTTAGAAGTCGCATCTAAAGCAGGGTTGCGCATCAAGTGGGAGAAAGATAAGTCTTTAAAGCGAAAAATCACATTTCTTGGATACCTAATCGAAAACGCAACGATTGCTCCAACAGAGGACAATGTCAAAGCAGTTGTTAACTACCCAGCACCGCAAAACAGAAAGGCACTTGAGCGATTTTTGGGGTTAACATCATATTTGCTCTGGAAGCAAAACCCTTAAGTGATCTACTTTGCAAGACTGACAAGACGCGTGACGGGAAAAACATTCAGCTTGACGATCAGTGCTTAGTTAGCTTTGAAGTATCTTTTAGCCACTGCCCTAGTTCTTAGACTGTACGATCCTTGTGCCATAACTGAAGTTCATACGGACGCGAGTAAATTCGGATTCGGTGGAATTCTCATGCAAAAGGACTCGGAAGATCAACTACTTCACCCAGTAGAATTGAGCAGAAAAACTACACAGTGCGAAAATATAGCGAATGAATTTTGCAATTGTCACCGACTGCGTAGCATTTACGATGACCATGAAAAAATACGATGTCCCACCAAGAGTCGCCAGATGGGCTATGTACTTACAAGAGTCTAAGTTTTCCGTCGATGCGCTCAGCCGCCTAACTTGCCTTCCTCTCGAAGATTCGACAAAATATCGTTTAAGAGAAGAACAGAACAAGTGGATTAAAGCCTTAAAAACAGTTTTAGATAGCGCAGAGAGTTACGAGCTGGCTAACCGGCATCAGCAACAAATATAGGAAGTCAACAAAAATGGTACGCTTGATCAGTGTAGCATACTTACAGGCGTAAAGTTCCCTACATTTTTCAGGTGACGAAATTGCCCCAGTGGTGTGGCGATTTTACCCCTCTATGTGGCGAAATTGCCCCAGTGTATTGGTTTTACTTTTTAATTTTTTATAAATCACCAAGGTAATTAAAAAAATAGGGGAATGTCACATTTTAAAGCTTGGTGCTAACCGCATTCAACAATAAAAATAGAAATATGATAACGTGTCTCAAGATGGACAAAATATAGCTTTAAAAAATGCTGACGAAATTACCCCACTCTCCCCTACAACTTAGGTGATCTCGTAGGTATAAAACGCACTCAATATGTGGTAGGCATGAAGCTTAGACCAACATTTTTCGGACCCTATAAACTCACAAAAAAGATGAAACATGGGCACTGCGAAGTACAAAAAGTAGGAAACCATGAGGGGCCGAATTTAACAACTACAGCAGCAGAGTTCATGGAGAAATGGAGTTTATTCAGGGGCGACTAAAATTGTAGGATGGCCGAATGTAGGATTGGGGAATTAAGTATAAGTGTATCACCCTTGCAGCGTAAGATTAAGAGCGACATCAAGGGTTTAGGCCCTGTACCTAAATATACCCGTTACTCGTAGAGTAAAAGGGTATATTGTATTCGTGCAAAAGTACGTAACAGCTAGAAGGAAGTATAAAGTAAGTAAAGTATATATATTCTTGATCAGGGTCACTAGCCGAGTCGATCTAGCTATGTCCGTCTGTATGAACGCTGAGATCTCAGAAACTACAAAAGCTAGAAGGTTAAGATTTCCCACACATATTCTTTGGCTTCCTACGCAGCGCAAGTTTATTTCAGACGACCGCCACGCCCCCTCTAACGCCCACAATCGCCCACTTACGATTTTAAAATGGGTCCTGCGCCCACATCTTTAATGATTTCCGAGAAGTATAAATGCAATTTTGTTTTTCAAATCGGACCATTCATTAAAAAGTTATACGCAATCCAAAAAAACTTTATATTCATCGCACTCCCTTTAGCTGAGTTACAATTATTAGTCGGGACACCAACCCGAGTACAGCGCTCGCACTCCTTTTAGCTGAGTGACGGGTATTAGATAGTCGGAACACCAACCCGACTATAGCGTTCTCTCTTGTTTTGAATTTGAATTGCTCTCCTAATATTTTTTGTTATCCAATACTATAAAATATTAATCGAGTACATTGGAAAGAATATCAAGTCTTTATTCAAAAAGCATCGAGGGTAAAAAAGCGACGCTAGACAATAAGAGTTCAGCGAGGTCGTCCAGTGCGTGGTTTTAAAAGACATACATACGTAATATCAAGAATGAAGAAGTGTACTACAATATTCTGTTACTTACCCAAAAAAACTAAAATTTGTATTATCCCACATTTATATACGTTATAGGGTCGGAAGCGCTTCCTTCTCCCTGTTACATACTTTTGCATAAAAAAAAGAAAAACATATTGCAGTTTGCCAGCCACATCTCTTAGTTATGCGTTATTTGCGAAACGTTAATTTTTTAGGAAATTAGGAAATTACTGAAGCTACAGCCTTGTATCTTTTTTTGACACTTTTTTAATTTCTAACTTGAGTTGTGGTTAACCGATTTCAACCAAAACGGACTCATTTTACAGGTAATAGAATGCCCTCTAACTTTCTTATACACTGCATTGAGTTCCATTCATTAGTTTAGAAGCTACATTTCGTCAAAGTTGAAAAAGTTAGAAAAAATGCAAAGATGCTGGCATAAATGGCTTCGTTAAAAATACACGCCTAAAAACCGAAATTAGTTTTATGACTTATACTTAAAGATACATCTTTAACCCAACTAACAAGACCATCAACAAAAAAATCAATCAATAGTTCGATTTTATATCGATTTTTTACGTTGGGAAAAACAGGGGTATTACAGCCCTGTTAGAGCCCTGTTGTGTCAGTTAACAGCTGTAAACGTCCAAAAAAACACCGTTGTCGCAAGCTTCAAAAATGCATATCAAATTAATTTGCTGGTGGATTGTAATGATAAATAGCTTGTTTTTTTTATCAAAGCACCTTCAACCAGTAGAAGTTATAAAACTAATTTCGGCAGCATTTTTGCCTTTTTTCTAACTTTTTCAACTTTGACGAAATGTAGCTTCTAAACTAATGAATGGAACTCAATGCAGTGTATAAAAAAGTTGGAGGGCATTCTATTGCCTGTAAAATGAGTCATTTGTATAACGAATGATTCTAACAGCAACGAAAGATGGTGGGTGTAGCTTCAAGTGGGGCACGCGCTGGTTCCGGCTCTTGTTTCGTCGGTAAAGGGAGTGAGTTTCCAATTTGATCCACAGTGCTACTTGCTCGCATATGTATATAAAACATCCTATTTAAATTCGCGTGCAAACTGACTTTGAGGTTAATTGTAAGGGGACAGAACTAAGATTGGGGTAAAGAGGAAAGGAATACCTGAAAAGAAGGGTGCTGCCTAGATGGAATGGCAGCAGGTGATGTGTGTGTGTCGGTGTCAGCAGCGAAGATGTTGTTTGCCACTGACATTGCCCACCCTACCATGATCACCACAGCCGCATAACCTGACACAGGTTGGTGATCCCTTTGACACACGCCTAACTCCTAATCATTATCATTGCTGCAAGCTTCCATTAGAAATAAAATTAGCAATTCATGTTTATAATAGGTTTAATACAAGAAAAGTAATACTAACAAATGTGATCATAAAGTTACAAAATTGGAGTTCATATCAAGTTTATGCTAAGCCCATTTTAAATGAGTATATTTAAATCAAAGCAAGAAAATTTAATTTAAATTAAAAATTGATTTCAAAAATAATTAAATGTAATTGAATTCACTGAGCTAGTATTTTAGTCATGGGGGAATTTGTTTTAAAATATCAAAATCATTGGGATATTATTGTATACAGTCAATCAAAAATGTAGCATTATGACCGGAGCCGATCACTTACCCAAAATATCCAACGTTGAAAGCGCTTTCAATATGTTGTATTATTGGCTGTAATTTTGTTTATAAATTTGAAAACTGCATTGCAATTGACTGAATGTAAAGATAAATTAGGGAAAAACACTTTCAGGGGCTTAAACACTTGCTCTCATGACGAGATTTGCTTACTGCATAACGAATTCTTTGATTACACTAGGATTTAAGGCAATTTACGTTAAGGGGTTATATACCTTTTTTTTTAAAAAAAAAAACGAAATTTTTTTTTTGCTGAATCCTAAAGTATATCCCCTAGAGAACATCTCCCCAAATTTTCATACAGATCCGAATAATAGTTCGATAGGAAAACAGCGTTTTGACGCGCTCGACTTCAATAGTTGCAACGTCAACGTAAAACTTTGAATGCGTTTATCTCAAAGTCGTGTTTTTCCAAAAGTGCCTTCGCTGTGACCACGATTGCGCAAGAACTATTTGATCGATCTTCTTCAATTTTTTTTAAAATTATTCGTAATGATTGTGCCGAGTTCGTGAACGATTCAGTTTTTATGCGCCAATTTTAATTTCGCAGATCAGAATATTTTAATACAATTTTTAGAACTTGAAAAATCAACTTTTTGGAAAAATAGTTACTGTATGCAGAAAAAGGGAAATATTCTTAAAAGTAATCGTTCACGAACTGAAAATAATACTATACTAACTAAAAATTTTTGGTTTTTTGATATCAGTTGACCTGCTGGACTTCCATCGTGGTCACCGCAAGACGCTATAAAAAAAAAAGGGTTCGGAAAGAATTGCCATAACTTCGTAAATTATTCATACTTTTTCAAGAACAAAGGCTTGTTGTTTCGATAAGAACATGTACTATCAATAAATAATAACTTCACTGTCATAAAATAATTGCTACACACCAAAAAAAAATTCAAAGTTCCCTCAATTTTTTCGCTCAAAAAAGGTATATAACCCCTTAACGGCTTATTAGATATTTAAATTTTAATTAATTTAGCGATACAGAAATCTAGTTTAACTTAAGAAAAGGAATTTAGTTGATTAGAATTTAACTGATTTAAATTTAAATTGTGTTGGTAAAACTAGACTGGATCACAAAGTGGGTGTTGCAGGCTTGGGCCTGCCCACTTGCGCACTTTCAGCAGAGGGCTGCACTATGTATGTATGTGAGACACAGGGTGCACTATGTTGTTGGCACGGACGTGCATGAATTTGTTCAGAATTGTTTGGACCAGAATTCACAAGAATTTTCAGCGTGGACGCTAGGTGGCAACGCTGGTTGAAATTTTCACAGTTCACTTTCTTGATTAAATTTTTGTTTGATGTTTTATGATGAATGTGGAGAGCTGATGAAAATCCTGACAATCCTGTGGCGTTGGTGGTAGAAGGAGTAAACTCGACTTCAATTTTCCACAATGCAGACGAAAATCTGGGCAGAAATTTTCCTGGGCAGTAAGCCACATGAAGGAGTAAACTCGACTTCAATTATCCACGATGCAGACGAAAATCTGGGAGGAAAATTTCCCCGGGCCGTCAGCCACGTAAAGGAGTAAACTCGACTTCCAAGAATTTTCCTATAAAACGCATTACTTTATAAGAAGAGAGGTTTTTCCACGAAATAATAGCAAAACTTACTTCCTTTAATCAACAGGAACTCACTGGTAAAAGAAAACCTTTTAAAAGGCTGAGGATGACTGATATTTTCCACGATTTGGTTTGGGTAGATCTCTGGGTTTAAATAAAGTATGCTCAGGAGAGAACGATCTTCACACGGCCAAGGTCCAAAACGGAAAGACCGTATAATCGAAATGCATCAGGCAGCCAGGCCTGTTTATCGAAAAAGTGTGGGACCAGAGTTGCTCAAAAAGTCTTTATCGAACACGTCTTTTCAGTGTTGTAAAAACAGAAATTATTTGAATTTAGCTCTGCCATTTTAATTCCTGGCGGCAACTTCAAAAACTGGTGGCAATTTTAAATTAAAGTGGGAAATTTAAAAATTTAAAATATTGACGACAAGCGCCCTACACATTTATGGTTGAAATCGGTTAACCACAACTCAAGTTAGAAATTAAAAAAGTGTCAAAAACGTTTTTTACACTTAAAAAAAATTTTATCCATTAAAAAAATAAATAAATTTTAAGTGCCATTTTCTTAATCAGGAAGACGTACCTTACCGGAAAACAAAGGTTTCATTCATGGTATATTTCATCCATTTCGGCAAGCCGAAGTTTTAATACCTTTGCAGATTTCACGAATGAAAACTTGACTAGAATAGCGACATGAATTAATAAACAACAAAATATTCTATAATTGAAAAAAAATAAAAATTTAAAATTTTTCACCCTGTTGTTCCTATGGGAGCTATAGGATATAGACGTCCGATCGGCACGCGCTTTTACTTTGATTAAGGTATGCATAAAAGGATACGATTCTTTCATGTCAATAGATTACATTCTGCGCGAAATATCCTGAAAAACGTCAAATTTTGACCGATTTCACCCTATTGTTCCTATGGGAGCTATAAGATATAGACGTCCGATCAGCCCGCGCTTTTACCCTGATCAAGGTATGTATAAAATAATATGATTTAGGAAGATTAATGTCAAAAGCTCTTACACTGAGCAAAATATCTTCATTTTGTGAAAGCTATATCCGATTGTTCCTATGGGAGCTATAGGATATAGACGTCCGATCGGGTCGGTTTTCAAACTTGATCTGCGTACACGCGTAAATTGCTAGCTTTTAAACTGAGCTAGCAAACGGTATTGAAACAGACATACAGACGGACTGACGGACATGTCTATATCGACTCCCCTACTGATCCTGATCAAGAATATATATACTTTATGGGGTCGGAAACGTCTCCTTCACTGCGTTACAAACTTCTGACCAAAATTATAATACCCTCTGCAAGGGTATAAAAAAACAAAAACCCATCCTTATATTTCAATCCTCTATCGAAAAAAAAAATTTCGATTGATTCTGATATTTGACCCAAATTGGCCTGTTACGTTTCACGTGGAATAAGCCATATTGTATTCGTTCAAAAGTATGTAACGGGGAGAAGGAAGTGTTTCCGACCCTATAAAGTATATATATTCTTGATCAGGGTCACTAGCCGAGTCGATCTAGCCATGTCCGTCTGTCCGTCTGTCCGTCCGTATGAACGCTGAGATCTCGGAAACTACAAAAGCCAGAAGGTTAAGATTTTCCACACATATTCTTGGACCTCCTACGCAGCGCAAGTTTATTTCAGCCGAGCGCCATGCCCCCTCTAACGCCCACAACCGCCCACGAACGATTTTAAAATGTGTCTGGCGCCCACACCTTTAAAGATTTCCGAGAAGTATCAATGCAATTTTGTTTTTCAAATCGGACCATTCATTAAAAAGTTATACGCAATCAAAAAAAAACTTTATTCATCGCACTCCCTTTAGCTGAGTTACGATTATTAGTCGGGACACCGACCCGAGTACAGCATGTCCCCTAAAATTGTCAACTGGATCTACTCAGCGGTGGTCAAGCCAATCCTTCTATACGGGGTGGCTCTATGGTGGACCGCTCTACAAAAACAATGCATCCTAACTCCTCTAAACAAAGTACAGCGAATGACGGCTTTGTGTATTAGTGGAGCCCTTCGAACTACCCCAAACGAAGCGCTGAACGCGATCTTGAACCTTCAGAGCCTGGACTTAGCAGGCATGGAAAGGGTCAATGGAAAACTCAACTCTATGGTCACACTAAGACTCGTTGGCGGAAGCATATACTCTTCCAAGCGGAAGTGCATGCTATAAGGGAAGCACTCGTCTGTATAAGGGACACCCAAGACAGACACATAAACATATATAGTGATAGTCAGGCGGCTATTAAGTCAATCTATTCGACAAGCACCAACTCCCGAACAATAGCAGACTGGCTTCCTTTCTTGATTGGAATGAAATTGCTGATGACATTTTGGAAAAAGTCCCTCGTGAAATCATGCTTGACATGTCACAGGGTGGTGACGTCTCATATGATAAATTCGTATAAGGCACTGGTGATATCACCGGTGACTTCGAAGAAATTGTCATTTGAGCTGTCACTATGGTACGGGGTAGGACATCTCGAACAAATGTCTTGATGGAAAGTCACTCGTGCGTCACGAGTGAACTGAAGGGGTGTTTTAGAGGTTAGTAAACAGGCGACAATAGGTGAAGTTGTGTGTGGATTGTTTTTAAATTAATTCATTTTATTGATTTTATTTTTCGGATTTAGTTATTTTATCGTAGTGCGTAGTGTGCAAAAAAGAATCAGCAGTGTACAAGCCAACGAGACATAAAGTCTCGCTCCGCCAATTTGGCGAGTCATCAGCTCTCGCTGACATAAGTTCGCCGAGGAAAAATGACATAATTTCGCCAGCCGAGAAATTATGTCGCTGTCAAACGACAAAGGTTCGCGCGAAATAATGTCGTTTATAAATTTGTTCTGGCGGGAAAAAAACGACATAATTTCGCCGGGATATGTTTTCATATATTATATTAATAAGGACATTGTTAAACGAAATAGATGTGTTGAAAGTTATAGACCAAGAAGAAGAAGAACAAGAAAATTTGGTAGAATGGCAGAAAAAGGAGAAATGCGCAAAAAGCTTGATCATTGAGTATTTAAGTGACTCGTTTTTAGGTTTTGCTAAAAGTAAAGATACATTACAAAGAAATGAATGTACCAAATCAGAGTCGCTCAGAAGAAGCATTTCGCTGCTTGATTGCATACAAAACTAAGGCAAAAATGCATTTTCGAGCGAATCTGCTTTTCTACCCATACATTTCTTTTGGTGGGATGAATGGATTGCGCTGAAACAGATTCCTAGTGGTAGGCGAAGGCCTTGACCGTCGATTTCCACAAAAAAATCGAGAATTTTTTGTACTTTTGCTAATTTTTTTGACTTTATCACGCACATCCTTTAATCTGGTCCAGAATATGCAAAAAAAAAATTTTTTTAAAGTGCCAAAACATTTAAACGACCTCATAGGCAATAATGACTAGCATTTTAAATGTCAAATTAAGTTTATTTCCTAAATAAATTTTGAGTTTTTTAGTACCAAAAGGAAAAACCGAATATAAATGTGGCCTAAATATTCGGGTTGGTTTTTGTTTATGCATGTATCTCTTTAAAATTAAAGATAAAGTATTAATATATATATAACAATGAAAATGTAATAAAAAAAGCTTTATTTCTGCATTATTATGGTATTTATTTTTTTATTTACAAAGCTTTTATTCACGTTTGAAGTTAAAAAAAACAAAAAACCGAATATTAATGTGATCCACTGTATAAGAATATACACAATTTATAAATGTGTTGTGTGATTTCCTGGAAGCGTCACACTATTCCGTCAGAATCCACATTCCACGTGTTGCCTCTTGTATTCGTCCTGTGGTCTTCTTATAGCGTGTAATATGTGCTCGGCGCAATATTATATCTCCCACCAATTCACAAACCAAGTTAAATACACTTTATGTATAGTTTTAGATATATATTTTAAGTTCCTTAGAACACGTCTTGGCACTTCAAATTTAACGGATAAGGCAGAGCTGAACCAGCTCTTCGGAACCAAAATGATATTAGTGTTACCAGTTACAGTAGTGAGCAGAATACTTTTGCTTATACTATATTCTTATCGATATGAAGTAATGTCATATTCCAACAGGTGTTTGTTTCAAATATTACCTTCTACTCTTGGGAATAATTTTTTTTATATATATTTGAATTTTTAATTAATATATAAAAAATCGTATCACTTTATCATATAGCTGCCATTGGAACGCTCGAAAAATTAAATGTTTATTAAAGAAAAAATTTATATCTTTTGTTGATTTTTATTACTGATATGTATTGTAATCACGAAATCTTAGCCATTTGCCGTGTACTTTATCGATATCCTCTGTTATTCTGTACCCTCTAACATACCAAAAATACCACAGCTATACAGAGCCGAATAAAGTCAGTTTGACATTTAACTTAATCCGATCTGTCGTCTCCTTTAATCGGAACACACGATTGGATGGATGCATACACTAAATATCGAATATTCAATAATTATTAAATTTTATTTGACTTTTTTGGACTCTTTTCCAATATGTTTTAAACTTAATTTATGTTTTTCTTGCAAAATGACAAAAGGAATATATGTTCAAAGCGCATATTGTACACAATAAAAGAAAACAATTAAAAATTTGAATTACCCGCCAGGCTACATATGCACACAAAAAAAAACGTAGTAAAATCAACTGTAATAATTGTCAAACAGGCCCCAACCAGCAAAATTGTCAATTCTAAATAGTCATTTCACAACAACAAAATACACACAATTAGCAAAGACACAAACCTAAAGCAAAAACAAAATACACGTAACTTTTAAAATAGTTACATAACTATCTTTGTTGGTCAATTTTACCAAGCAAATTTTTTTGTGTGTGCAGTCCTGAACAGCGGTTTGCCGCGTCTGCATTGGTTTATTTTCATTTCTAAGGGCCGTTTTCTCGTCCGTCTGTTAAATTTAAAGGAAAGTTAAACTGCGATTTTTCATACAAACTTTAAATTTAACAGGCGGACGAGAAAACGGCCCTAAGTTGGCAAGAATTTTAAAAGCGAATCAAAATGCCAACTGCTATACACCCAAAAAAATAATTGACCGAAATCGCCCTTGGTTTTAAAAAATAGCCTATAAATTTGCTTTACTGGCGATTTTGTCTATATTAAAGAAAGTAGGTTTTTAAAATAAAAAAACGTTTTTTCTAAAAATCAAAAAAATAGACTGCAATTTAGAAATTTTTTGTTAGAAAGTAAAAAAATATTTTTTAGAACTTAGAAATAAAGGTTTTCTAAAAAAAAGAAATACGGTTTTTATTTAAATATAGACAAATATTTTTTAAATAACAAAAAAAAATTTCTCAAATTCAAAAAATACAAAAATTTATTTTCGGGCTTCGTAATTATAGCCGGTTGTTTCTGTGCCGCCACGGCCTTTGTTTTGCTTTTATACCTTTGCAGAGGGTATTATGATTTCAGTCAGAAGTTTGCATGCAGTGGATGAGACGTTTCCGACTCCATAAAGTATATATATTCAGCATCAGCTCAGCATCACTAGACGTGTCGATCTAGCCATGTCCGTCTGTCCGTCCGTCTGTCTGTCCGTTTCTACGCAAACTAGTCTCTCAGTTTTCAAGCTATCGGGATAAAACTTTCCCAAAAGTCTTCTTTCTATTGCGAAACGAGCCGGATCGAACAAATATATCATATAGCTCTCATAGGAACAATCGGGGAACAAAATGTAAACAAATTATATCTTGGGTGTTTTTGAACCTATAACATCCTACTTTTGGAAATGTCATTTTTTATCCAATTCTGAATTTCGAATAAGTTTTTTCAAAATCGGACGACTATATCATATAGCTGCCATAGGAACGATCGTAAAATTAATGGGAATATAATAGGAAATAAATTATTGCTTCGTTGGTTTTTATTGTATTCTCTTCTACTCTAGGATATAACTCTTTTCAAACATTTTCGAATTTCGATTTTAATTTTATAAAAATCGAACTACTATATCATATAGCTGCCATTGAAACGAACGCAAAATGAATGAGAAATAAGAGGAAAATTAACATTTTGGCGATTTGTAAATTAATAGGAATTATATGCAAGGGTATATAAGCTTCGGCGTGCCGAAGCTAGCTCCTTTTCTTGTTATACCCTTGCAGAGGGTATTATGATTTCAGTCAGAAGTTTGCAACGCAGTGAAGGAGACGTTTCCGACCCCATAAAGTATATATATTCTTGATCAGCATCACAAGACGAGTCGATCTAGCCATGTCCGTCTGTCCGTCCGTCTGTCCGTCTGTCTGTTTCTACGCAAACTAGTCTCTCAGTTTTTGAGCTATCGGGACAAAACTTTCGCAAAAGTCTTCTTTCTATTGCAGGTAGTATATATGTCGGAGCCGACCGGATCGGACAACTATATCTTATAGCTCCTATAGGAACAAACGGAAAAAAAAAACTTTAAAAAATTCTAGCTTCGGTGTTTTTTGAAATATTACCTTCTACTTTTGGGGATGTTATTTTTTAAATATTTCTGAATTTCGAATTAATTATTCAAAAAATCGGACTACTATATCATATAGCTGCCATAGGAACGATCGGAAAATTAATGGAAAAGTAATAGGAAATAAATTCAAGCTTCTTTGGTTTTTATTGTATTATCTTCTACTCTAGGATATGACTCTTTTTAACTATTTCCGAATTTCAATTTTAATTTAATCAAAATCGGACGACTATATCATATAGCTGCCATAGGAACGATCGGAAAATTAATGGAAAAGTAATAGGAAATAAATTCTAGCTTCTTTGGTTTTTATTGTATTATCTTCTACTCTAGGATATGACTCTTTTTAAATATTTCCGAATTTCAATTTTAATTTGATCAAAATCGGACGACTATATCATATAGCTGCCATAGGAACGATCGGAAAATTAATGGAAAAGTAATAGGAAATAAATTCTAGCTTCTTTGGTTTTTATTGTATTATCTTCTACTCTAGGATATGACTCTTTTTAACTATTTCCGAATTTAAATTTTAATTTAATCAAAATCGGACGACTATATCATATAGCTGCCATAGGAACGATCGGAAAATTAATGGAAAAGTAATAGGAAATAAATTCTAGCTTCTTTGGTTTTTATTGTATTATCTTCTACTCTAGGATATGACTCTTTTTAAATATTTCCGAATTTCAATTTTAATTTGATCAAAATCGGACGACTATATCATATAGCTGCCATAGGAACGATCGGAAAATTAATGAGAAGAAGGCTGAGGTTGCCGAGATACGATCTGACAGGGATAAGGTGAACGAGCGTATCAACAACCTGGATCATAAGGTCTGCGAACTGTTCACATTGAAGGAGAGAGTTGGCGAGTTAGAAGCCAAACTGTCTTCTCAGCAAATGGCAACTCAGGCCTGCGAATTACGCATGCACGGAATACCATTTTTAGAGGGTGAAAATCTGAAGACTCTTTACCACAAACTCTGCTTTTCGCTGCAGCTCACTCCGCCGCCGAAGTTTACCGAAATTTTCCGGGCCAGAAAAACACAAAGATCTTCAGTGGACCCGGTGGTCATTATAAAAATGGAAAATTACCACGAAAAAATCACGCTGTTACGCTGCATCGGAGCTTACCGGCGCACGGCTAAACAACAACTTAGCTTACAGCTGATTGGGTTCGACTCACAAGCAGCTCTTTATATTAATGAGCAGCTTTTAAGAGAGCACTACATAATCTTTAAAGAGGCCATGAAACTAAAAAAGCATAAAATTTTGACAGCCGTCTTTACTCGCAGAGGCTTTGTGCATGTCCGCTGCGGTGACAATATGTTATACCGCATTGAGCGTATGGATGAGCTTTCAGCGCTCTCTCGTGATCTGAGCGCACAAACACAAACCGCTCTTCCCCTCTCTTCTACATCGGGTACAACTTCTGCTGCTTCATCTGGATCGCATGATAGGGCTGGTGCTCTTAACAGTGAGAGCTTTCGCCCCTAAAATTGTACCTTTATATTTATATTTATATTTATTAACATATTTATCTGTAGTATTTATGCCTTTATATTTAATTATTGTTAATTGTCAAAAGTTTGCAACTATCTCGTTATCTCCTAAATTTATCTTTTTTGCTAAAGCGCGCTTCTCAGTAGGTCCTCAACATGTTCGACCAGACTGAAGTAGGTAGTTCCATAGCTGCGAGTTTAATAAGAATCTTAGCTAAGCACAAAAAGGGAATTAAGGTCGTTCATATTAATGCACAGAGTCTTTTGAAAAAAATTGATGAGTTTAGGTACTTGTTTGTCCAGTCTAATGTTGATGTTATTTGCGTGTCTGAAACTTGGTTCTTGTCCGATTTTAGTGATTTGTCTATTGCGTGTGATGACTATGTTGTTTATCGTGCAGATCGTTTTAGTCATGCTGGTGGTGTCGCTATTTATGTGAACAAAAAATTGAATTCTACCGTTAAATGTAAGCATCCAATCGATAGCGAAATTGAATATTTATTCTTAGAACTTTCAGGTAAAGATCTTTCTTCGAAAGCACTAATAGGATGCATTTACCGGCCGAATCGTACTATTGACCATGCCCCCTTAATAAATGTTCTGCGTGAAATATCTGTTGAATATACAGATGTTATTATTACTGGCGACTTTAATAGCAATATCTTAAGGGAAAAACATCTGCTTGATAGTTTCGAATCTATAGGCTTGACTTCAGTTAATTTATACACTCCTACACATTTTACCAACACCTGTGATACTCTTCTTGACCTTTTTTTTGTTAATGTCCCTAGTAAGATTTTATTGTATGACCAAGTCTCTGTACCAGTTTTCTCTAAGCATGACCTCATCTTTCTGACGTATGATTTGACTTTAGCTTATAATTCTGACACTTTCGAATTTAGGGACTATAAAAATATTAACTATACTGAACTTGAAGTAGAGTATAATAATTGTGATTGGACGTCCATATATATGTCTCCCAATATCGAGCATCAATTGAACATTTTTAACAGCAACATTGAGTACCTTTATAACAAATGTGTGTTAATAAGGGAAAAAACTATCCATCCAAAGCAAAATCCTTGGTTTACCCATAATATTAAAAAAAATATAGCGATCCGTGATGCTTTCTACAATAAGTGGAAACGATATAAGACAGAATTTTTTAGAATGCAATACACTCGGGCGCGTGATAATGTCCGGCAGATCATCAGATCTGCAAAGTGCGAATTTTATGGGTCCAAATTTCAAAACTTATCTACTAAAAAAACTTGGCGTGAACTTAAAAATATTGGAATTGGTAACACCAAGCAGCTGGCCCAACACCAAGTGAACGTCAACGATTTGAACAGGAAGTTTGTGCAATTCGATGTACCTGAAGCTACATGTAACAAGTACCTGAATGCCTTACCAGACTGTGATAATAGATTTAGTTTTATGTGCGTTAGCCAATGTGATGTTCTTGAATGTTTACTTAAGGTGAAGTCAAACGCTGAAGGCCTGGATGGCATTAGCCCAAAATTTATTAAATTATTATTACCATTACTCCTTAGCCATATAACACACATTATGAACACAGCAATTACCACATCCACTTTTCCCTCTGCATGGAAGTTCGCGAAAATTGTACCTATCCCGAAAAGTCAAACGGAATTCAGACCCATATCCCTACTTCCTTACTTGTCAAAAATTTTTGAAAACATATTGGCGGCACAGATACAACCCTTTATGGATGACCATTCCATGCTTAGTGAAAATCAATCTGGATTTAGGAAAAATAGGAGCTGTGTTAGTGCCATTACAGATGTAGTTGAGGACATTCGATCGAGGCTAGATAAAAACTGGATAACGTTTTTGACTCTACTTGATCACAGCAAGGCTTTCGATACCGTCAACCATAGTATTCTATGCACAAAACTAAAAAACCTTTTCAATTTTTCCGACTCTGCAGTCATGCTCATGAGGTCCTATCTAACAGGTAGACAACAAGCAGTCGTATCTGGGAGTTGTTGTTCTAGCTTTGTTTCGGTGTCTAGAGGCGTTCCCCAAGGATCTGTGCTAGGGCCTTTATTGTTTTCCATCTATGTTAATGATTTACCCAATGTTCTGTCCCCTTGTGATGTCCATCTATACGCTGATGATGTGCAGTTTTATGTTAGTAAGCCTCTATGTCAAGTCAATGATTGTATTAGTATGTGTAATACCCTGCTTTTCAAAATTAATACCTGGGCCACGGAAAACGGACTATGTCTAAACCCAAAAAAAAGCAAATGCGTAATTATCTACAAAAAACCCTTCGATACATCGCAACTCCCGAATTTAATAATTGGAAATAGCCCTATCAAATACGAAGAATCGGCAGGAAACCTGGGTATTACCTTTAACAACACGTTAACATGGAGCAAACATATCTCCAGAGCAACTGGGCGAACATATGGACTTCTGAGACAGCATTCTACTTCTCAGTCGTTCTTGCCAACCCAACTTCGAATGCTAGTGGCCAAAACAATCTTGGTTCCCACCTTGTTTTACGGTGTCGAGATTTTTGGGCACTGCGACACTCAAGATACTCAAAAATTAACTGTTGCTTGTAATTCGATCGTCCGTTACGTGTTTAATCTTCGTCGCACTGACCACACTTCCCACCTAGTCAATAATGTTCTTGACCTTAGCCTTAGTCAGTGGATTGACCTTAAAACATTAATTTTTATTCATAAGATTGTGTGCACCCGTGAACCGTCTTACTTGTTTCAGAAACTTCTTCCAGCTCAATCGCAAAGAACACAAAATTTTATTATCCCTCGATATAAAACCTTATGCTCGAAGAGACAATTTTTTATAAATGCAATTCGCCTATGGAACTATCTCCCACATGCTATCAAAACAATTAGAAGCGCGTCTCAATTTAAATCGAAAATTAAAAAATTAATGCTAGATCAAAATTAGTTGCAAACTTATAATCAAATTATTAACCCTACTTTGTTAGATTTTAAGTTTTACTTTTAAATTAAATTATTCTTGTTACTCAATCCGATGTGACTAGCGCAATAAATATAAGTTTTTACTTGTAGCGTTAGGATATAAACAAATAAAATTGAAAATTGAAAATTGAAATATTAGAAAATTGAACATTTTTGCGATTTGTTAATTAATAGGAATGATCTGCAAGGGTATATAAGCTTCGGCTGGCCGAAGCTAGCTTCATTTCTTGTTTTTCGTTCTTGTTTGTCACCTTATTTGAATTTGGGTGGTTTTAAATTGGAACTGTAATAATAACTGAAATTAGTGTACAAATTACAAATTATAAATATAAAAACCCAATAACTTACTATTTTGAGAAAAACATCTTGGTCGCCGCACGCGGGAATCGAACCGCTAACCCCGCTCGCCTCACAGTTTGCAGTCAAGTACTCTACTAGCTGCGCCACGGAAGCATCACGTGAGGCGCTGTATAAAGTCTATTCACATTTTGTTCTCCTATTTTTACTCAAATTGATCTGGCTCTCTTCTGGTTATTCCTTTTAGTTGTTAATTTAATTTTGCTCTTAAATATTTATTGATTAATATTAATATTTATATATTTTTTATGGTTCAATAGTAACAGTAATTGAATGTTTCAAATTTTAAAAACTTAAACATCATTTTTATCAAAATATAATTATTCATGAGCTAAAAAAAATGCAATACATTTTTTTTTTATTAATATGTAACTATTTATGTTAAAAAAAAACAAAAAGACACCATGAGTTTTTCGTCTCGACGTGGGTTTGAACTCACTCTTGCAGCCGCAAGCTTGAATAACATATGCATGCACGCACGCGTTAGACCCCTAGGCTACCAGTCCGGAAATTTTCTTCAATTAATAGCGATTTTTTCTTAGGCTAAAAAAAATGTTTCTAATATGTGTATAAGAATTCCTTCTTCGATCAAATACGGTTAAATTTTTTATTTTCTAGAAAAAGTACTTCTTAATATAACACAATTTTTTTTCTAAATGTTAGAAACATCTTCAAACATTTTTTCTGTTTTTAGAAAAACAATATTTCTTTTATGTAGAAATATTTATAATTTTAATGGCAATTTTTTTTTATTTTTAGAAAAGTTCAGTATTTTTTTTTTCTAAAATCAATGGCGATTTTAACCCTCAAATAAAGAAGGAAGATTAGAAAAATAAACCTTATAATTTAAAAAAAATTGATTTTTCTGTATTTGAGAAAACATTTTTTTAAAAAAATAGTTCAATAGAGAATTTTTTTGAAGACTAGAAAATTGTTTTTAAGATTAAAAAATGTTTCCTCTTTATAGAATATTTTTTTAAAGCACAGAAAAATTTTTTTTTTTCTATATTTAAGAAAAAATAATTTTTTGAGTGTAGAGTACTTGCGAAGGCATAAACTGCGAGAGGCTAGGACGCAGAGGAGATCCTTGCAAGCGGTTTTATAGGGTCTTCCCACAGAGCTCCATCCACCATCTACCATCCGTTAAACGGATGGTCCGTAAGGTTTTGCCGTTCCGAAAATTTCCCAGTTAGTTCGCCATCCAATTTTGATGGACTTTGACGGGCTCTTTTATGCGATAGTTAGGCGATGTTTTCTCGGTGCAACTCTGAATTTTTCCTCTTGACTGTGAAAATTGGAACG